TTCATGTTTGGGCTGACGGTGGGAGCGAATAGGGTGGTTTGATGAATTGCGCCCCGCTTTTTTCCTCGTGACTATCCTTCTGATATCGTAAGAGGTGATCTGAATTCATTTACCAATTGCTCTTGTTTACTGATTATACGTAGCAGCTTGTTGCTGGTTCATTCTTCAATCTCCTAAACCTTGTTTGCAAATTGGCAAAATAATAAGGAATAAAAACCACAGGCGGAGCCAGGATTTCACAGCTTATGAGTTTGAGATTCTTATCGTTTCAAGTTACGGGGTTTAAATTAATAATTTATATACATATCATTTTTTAGACAAATACCGGATTAGAACCAAAGCTACTGGGTTCGACCGGACCCTCTCCCGACCTCTAGCTCCGCTTCTGAATAAAACCGGAGTTTTTATAGGCGAAGTATTTACTTTTTTCCACCATTTCGATAAAAGAAAAATCTACTTTTAAAAAAAATTAGTATATATATTAGTAGCTTTGAACTCTGTGAATTTGTTTAAGTTTGCTACACTCCCCTCACGTGGGCCTTGGTATTTTTTTCTTGGACCAGAATGTGCAAAAGGAAACTAAAACTTGGATTTTTGCCTGGAGGAAAGAATAAGTTAATAAGTTACTATTTGAAAATTTTCATGCCATAATTAGTAGTCCAAGCATAGGACAAATACTGATATTCAAGTTTGAGCTGTAAGTGAGTAAAAACACATGCAGACAATATGTAAAAGCATCGGATTTCTCTTTTTTCTTTTGGGCTAAAACACAAATTCTTAATATTTGGAAATTTTTATTTTGTTGTCTTAGATTAAAACTTGAGTGACATGATTTTTTTTTGCAGGTACAAGCCATATGCTATAAAAGGAGATATTGGATTCAATCAGAACCGATGTTCTTGACTTTTATAGAGGCCTGGTAAGACTAGAGTTTCTGTGTGATGGTTCTATAGTTTTTAGCAAATCATTTTCCAATAAATTTTAAAAGCATCCCACTTTTTTATATTTGTGAAGGGATAAGTGGTAGAGAACATCTATTTGGAGAAATAACTTTGTTTTTTTTTTTTTTTCCCTTTAAAACAAAATATTTAGTGTTGAAATGAAATGGAACCTGAATGGTTGCGGGCAGAATAGATACATTGGATTGATGTGCCGATCTCAATTAATTTGGATTGAGGCAGTCCTGATTGATCTATTACTTACAATCTCCCTTACTTAGTATGATTTATCCTACTTTTAGTATTGAATTCATCATTTTGATGTTAAATGCCGACCTCCGAGCGGACGTCAACTTTCAAAGGAATTTGGTGTTGACTTACCAAAAGAATCTGGGTTTTAACCTTGGCTTTATATAGAACCTTTGTAGTGGATCTTCTTTTGATATCGCATGGAGTGGAAGCTCCATGTGACAGTTTACTAGTGTATGGTGTGTTTAAGAGCTTCCCCTGTATTTACCTTTATCCGAGAATGAGAAATTTTTTTACAGTACAGTTGAGCCTGTGCAAATAATATTCTTGAGTCTGGAGAGAGGCCCACCTTGTTAAAACCTTGTGGCTTTCCAAATTATATTGTTGAGTTCAAGTTTTTGCCCTGTGTACGAGCAGTTACCACACTTTACTTGCTAGTTTTGTTAAAGATCAAGAAGAATTAAATATCTGGTCTTGTTTTAGAATTCTTTCTAATGTAGACGTCAATTTAAAACTTGTGCGCCCATTTTTTTCATTTCTCAAAACATGTTTAGTGAGGTTATTCTTAGCTACCTAACTACATGTGTGTTCATTCAGTTACTAGATGTTATTACACTTTTGGATATAATTAGCAATGTGCGCTCAAGAGTTCTTTGCCTCTTGTTCTTGTGCAATATGTTCTGGCAGTTCACTACAAAGCATGGTTAGAACCATATTTTGAGGAATGTATAGCCTTGTGACTTTGCAGGGGGACCAAGATTAATTGATTGAATCTCATGATTCAAGATACCACAGATCTTCATAAATGTGTGCATATATTCGTGAATACTAAAACCCGGAACATTCCAAATGGGTAAGTTGAAGCTTTTTACATTAAACCTCTGGAAATTTTTTTACCCTTTATCCATGTTTAATCAATATGCTATATTCTTAGTTTATATCCATTAATAAATATTTTTTTACACTAAATTAAGTTGCTCAACTATATTCTGCGCATCTCTTTTTGTGTCGTGATATTTGTACTGTCTAGATTTTTCTTTATTTATGTTATTGCGTATTAATATAGGATATTTATTTCATTTATTCGAATAGATATTTGAAATAATATTATTCATTAAGAAATTTCTTTCCATGTGTGTCAGATGTATTGCTTACTTCGTCATTTATTTCAATTGTGGGTCGGTATAAGCTTCATTAATTACTCAATTCCTTAAAAAATGAAACGAAACTAGTTACCAGGACACCATTGGCATGCACAATCTTCAAGAAATGAGGAGTATAAAGTCGGCCAGTGTGAAGTAATCATCAATATATTCTATAAAAACCATTTTAACCTCGTCCTTGTTCTCACTAGTTAGGGTATGTTGTAAGGTTATTATGGAAAAAAATGTGATGTGCCTT